GGAGAGAGAGAGAGAGAGAGAGAGAGACTTCGCCGCCACCAAAATCGCGAGAGAGAAGAAGGGAAGCACAGCAATCTCGTGCTCGGAGTTTTCCTTTTATAGGGAAACCCTAGCGACATGCTGGCGACAGACTGTCGCCAGCCATGCGTGCGCGACCTCGCCTGCGAGAGCCTCGACCTCGCCTAGATCTTGCGTCGAGCTTGCTTGCATCGCCCCAAGCTTGCCTACAGAGCTGTGTCGCCTCGTGCTCGCCTGCAGCCTTACTCAACCTTGCTTGCAGACCGCCTCGACCTCGCATGAACTTCGACCTCGAGCTCGCCTGATGATCTTCTCAAGATCGCCTCGAGCTCGCCGTCGACTTAGCATGCTTGCCTGCGGAGGTTTGTGTCTATACCCGACACCAACAATCTCCCACTTGGAGACCAAAACATCGTTAGCAAACTATCTCAATAAGCATTTTCTCATGTGTGGCTCTGCCCTCATCACCTATGCATGAAGCCTAATTGAAGTTGCGGACAACTGCAGTTTCTGAAAGGTCACTGCCTTTGTCAACATATCCGCTGGATTCTTACTTCCTTGGATCTTCTGTTAAAATCCTTTAGCAACTTGTCGAGCTCTGTATCTTCTCGAACCATCATGTTCCTTTTTCACTCGATACACCCACTTGTTGTGATGTGCCTTCTTACCCGTGGGCAACTTAGCTAGTTCCCACATCTAGTTTGATATGAGAGACTTTATCTCATCTTTTATGGCAAGATCTCACTTGCTCGCATCTCCACTCTGACAAGCTTCATCATAACTTTCAGGCTCCCCTCCATCTGTCAACAACAGATAGTTCATATATCTCATGTTGGGCACAGGACGCCGAGAAGATCTTCTCAATATCGGAGGTAGTGCGTCGGGCTCCTACGTACTGTTCTGTCCAACAGGCTCTTTTGACTGAGGGCCTTCTGCATTGGGTTCTTCCGAGAGATTACTCGGGATATCATCTGCATCTACAAATGTTGACTCGATCTCTGAGTCATCTGTCTTGTGCATGTCCTTGTGCATCATCTTCTCGTTGAATATCACATCTCTGCTGCGGATCACTTTCATGTTTTCATTGTCCCAAATACGGTAGCCGAACTCATCTTCATCATAGCCGATGAAAGTGTATTTCTTTGACTTGGGATCAAGTTTATTCCTGCCTTAATCACTAATATGCACATAAGCTACACAACCAAAAAATTTAAGGTGTGAGAGTTTTACTTTTTTCTGTACCATACCTCTTCTGGTATTCTGTACTCTAATGGAACCGATGGACCTCGCTTGATCAAGTAAGGTGCTGTATTGACTGCTTCTGCCCAGAACTGTTTCGGTAGGTCTGATTGTACCCGAATGCTTCTGGCACTTTCTAGTAACGTTCTGTTCATCCGCTCAGCTGCACTATTTTGCTGAGAAGTGTTGGGCACAATTTTCTCCATTCTGATCCTGTACTCATAGCAAAACTTCTTGAATTCGGTGCCTTCATACTCACCGCCATTATCGGTCCTGAGCTTCTTTATTCTTAGACCGGTCTCATTCTCGACCATGGCTTTCCATCTCCTGAAAGTCTCAAATACTTCTGACTTATGCTTCAAAAAGTAGACCCACACTTTCCGAGAGTGATCATTGATAAAAGTCATGAAGTAGTGTTTCCCACTAATGGACGTGGTGGTGATTGGTCCCCAAACATCTGAGTGAACGAGCTCTACCTTCTCTTTCCTAGGGATCTTCTCTTTCCTAGGGGTTCTATCACTTGTCTGAAAGCTGACTCTCTTCTGCTTTCCAATTATGCATTCTTCATATGTCAATCTCTACTGATTGTAAACTTGGAGGTTTTTCCTTTGTGTGCATAATCTTCATCCCCTTCTCACTCATATGACCGAGTCTCTGGTGCCATAACCTTGAAGTCTTATCGCCTGCTGTAACTGAGATTAAATAACGTGCACCTACTGTTATATACAGGATATCAGTCTTCTTACCTCGGGCAATTATCATTGCGCCTTTTGAAATCCTCCAATTATCATCATGGAAAGTCGTAGTGTAGCCTTCACTAGCTAGCTGGCTTACTGAGAGTAAGTTCTTTTTCAGATCGGGAATATGTCTGACATCCTTCAGTTCCCATACTGACATGTTCAATTTAATTAATCTTCGCTACACCTTTGCCAATAATGGCACACGATTGATCATCACCAATGTATACATTTCTAAGGTTTTCGGGGATATACTTCTCGAGGAATTATTTCTGAGAAGTAGCATGGAATGATGCTCCAGAGTACAACACCTAAGACTCCTCCTTGCTCTCCAAAGAGCATATCAATGCATCATCTCCTCATGAGGTGGAAGCAACATTTGCATCTGCCTTTTCCTCCTACTGCTTCTGTGCACTCTTGCACTGATTCTTGTAGTGCCCGGTTTTCCCGTACTTCCAACACTCGATAGCCTTCGAGCTGCTGGGATTCCTGGATTTGGACCTCCTATCCTTTAATCCATTTCCTTTGGTTGAATTTCTATCTCTTGACTCTGTATGCAATACTGAAGATGTTGTAGCTTCACCCGACTCTCTCCGTCGGATCTCCTCACTGAGAACTAGATCACGAACATCATCGAATTTCAACTTGTTGCTTCCCGACGAGCTACTCACAGCTGTGACTGTAGCATTCCAGCTTTCTGGTAGGGAAGACAAAAGAATCAACGTTCGTACTTCTTCATCAAACTCAGTATCAACTGAACTTAATTGGGTCGTGACTGTATTGAGTTCATTGAAATGATGTGCTACTGATGCACCTTCCGTCATTCGCAGATTGAATAACAGCCTCATTAAATGAACTTTGTTTGAGGCTGATGGCTTCTCATACATATTTGAGAGTGCTGCCATAAGACCCGCTGTGGTCTTTTCCTTTATAATGTTAAAAGCAACATTGAGGGTTAACGTTAAACGAATAACCCCGAGGGCTTTACTGTCTAAAAGCTTCCAATCTTCTTCCTTCATACCCTCCGGCTTCTTCCCTGAAAGGGGTTGATATAGATTTTTTTGGTACAGATAATCCTCTATTTGTATCTTCTAAAATCCGAAATCTGATCTATCAAACTTCTCTAATCTCACCTTTTCTTTATCTGCGGCCATCGCTCCCACTTGAATCTGACTTCCTCTAAATCGTTTCAGGCTCTGATGTTAGTTGTTGGGGAAATAACCTCGGGCTACGCTAAACCCCTAAAAAGAGCAAGAAACGTAGTATAGAAAAAAGTACACTAATATTTACGAGGCTCAACAAACTTGTCTACGTCCTCGGGAGCCACACAATTAATTATTATTAATTATCACTAAATTATAATGCAAGAGCAAATCTCAAACTTAAAATCTCTCAATAAATGCAATACTAACACTGTAGCTACAGTGTTTAATTTCCTCTCTCTTAAATTAAATTTCCCCTCTTCTGCAATTTAAGAGAGAGGAAATTAGACATTGTAGCTACATTGTTGGTATTGTATTTATTGAGAGATCTCAAGTTTGAGATCTTCTCTTGCATTGTAATTTTTTGTTAATTAATAAGAAATTAATTGTGTGGTTCCCGAGGACGTAGGCAAGTTTGTCGAACCTCGTAAATCTTGGCGTATTTTTCTCTATACCACGTTTCTTGTTGTTTTTAGGGGTTTAGCGTAGCCCCAGGTTATTTCCCCAACATATTCTAGCATGCATATTGATTTTTTTTTTTCAATTACATATTTTAATTATTAATTTAAGGCATTCTTAAAATTATATATATCTAGCTTACTTCACGTTTCTCACTCTCCTTTCAATATTATGATACCATATCAGAAAGTTGTTTTCTGCAGGCGCGAGTAGACAAGAAACACGGATAAAAATAATACGACAAGTTAGAAACTGAGGAAAATGGAGTTATTATACTAGGATTCTTACCAAAGGATAATATTTTTATTCCAGATTCAAATACTACCATTGATAACGCTGATTGTTAGGGCAGAGAAATCACTGACATGGAGGATGAGTTATGCTTGATTACGGTTTCTTAGGCGTGGACTTTTGGTTTTGTTCTTTAAGCGGAAGTTTATTTTGGCAATCTCTTTGGAATCTTTTGTTTTAGAACTGAGATTCTTTTCCCTAGTTTGTTATAGAGACAATTGTTTTCATTTATATAAGTTATATTACATTTAAGGTAAAGCTCGAAGTGTTTACTCATTAAAAAAAATAGCATTCCACGTTTTAACGACAAGCGTTTGTGAGAGGAAATCCAATTTTGAAGAGTCAAGAGCCCGTTGGGCCTATAGGTCGGTGCTAAGAGAAATTTGACTCGGTTGATGACATGGAGTAGAGGTCGCAATTGGATTGGCTTGGTTCGGGTTTGGGTCGTAAGCAGCCCAATTGGTAAAACATAATGTAACTCCTAATGTGATCCTTGTATAATGTCTCTTTCATTTTACTGCTCCAAACAAAGGCTTAACTAATTATCGTCAAAAACAACGGGCATCGTCCGTTGGTCCAATCTTGAATTATTAAAGAAGTTAAACTTATGTCCGCTTGTTGATTATTGAGACCCAGTTCCTTATGCACTCCAACATGCACATTACCTGTTCGTTGAAATGCCTCAGTGTTGTGTATGGCGTTATATTCTCTTTTTATTTCGGGGTTTTTCTACTTTTGTTACTATATATCGCCCTATTTCTTGTTTGCGGATTGTAGGTGTGTGCATTATGCATTGAGCAGTTCATTCGAGATAGCCGAAGCTCTAAATTTAGAAGCCCTAACTGCGCATTAGGACGTATGGGTGAGCTTAAATTATTCTTACCCTTTATTTTTCATTCACAATATTTCTTATTCTAATAGTTTAAATTTCATTCTCTTAGCTATCGGTCAATTATGTATATATTCTCTGTGAAGCATGATGGTTTACTATGTAAATGCTCATGACGTTCTCAGTGTTTTAAACAATTCATATAAAACAAACAAAAGAAAAGGTGATTCGAGAATTGAGGCCGTATACAAACTTATTTCTATAGAATGTCACAGGCTGCTTATTCCACGCTTTGTACAATATTTATGCGCCTTTCAGTTTGTCAGCAAGTCAACACTAGTTTTCACTGCTTGTTGATGCCAGCAATCCTCCCCTATTTTCTAGAATTTAGCTTAGTAAGTTCTAACCAATCTCTCAATTGCATTGTTTTGTTGAATAAGATATAATCTATTGAACTTGGCCCAAGGTTTGTGGAAACTAGCACCTGCCTAATTTCAGATTGTTCTACTTAAGAAAATTGAAAAAAATAATCTTGTAATAGATGTTTGAAAAATGGAAAACTAGATTCTGAAACAAAAACAACCATATTTTGCTCAATATATGTATGTACAGTTTTAAATTGAGGTTTCTTTGTTGTAGAGTATCCTATGGTTTATTTCCTTGCAAAGCCAGGTTTTTTAATTCGTTGTTTTCAACAGATGCATGACAAAAAGTGAACTCCTTGAGATTATATAAATGATTCTTTGTTTTCAACAGATGCATGACAAAAAGTGAACTCCTTGAGATTATATAAATGATTCTTGTTATTAGGAACTAAAGTCAAAATTCATTTCATTAGTGAACTCCTTGAGATTATATAAATGATTCTTGTTATTAGGAACTAAAGTCAAAATTCATTTCATTCTGCTAGTTCACCCTGGGGTACTTAATTGCTTCTTTATATAATCAAGTGATGCTATTATCTGCAATATTAGACATTAAAATAACTTACTTGCTCTTGTGCTTGTGCTTGTGCTTGTGCTTGATCCTTGTTATCTGGATTGAAAAGAAAATTTGTACTTGGTTATTTTACATTCTACAAAATTAAAAGTAATTTAACATTTATTTTAAGTGAGTTAAGGTGTTGCATGTAAACTTTTCTCATACCTTTGCTTTGACTATTAGCGTATAAGATTGCCATTGGTAAGACGAAGAGCTATGTCTTGTTGGGAATGAGAACGACATTTGGAATATTCATGCATTCCCTCTTTCTGTGATGTAATGGTTACAATTAATTACAATGCGCATAATTATATTAGGAACTTTACTATTCTTTTCTCTTATTTATATTGACACCTATATCTTCCATTATTCAGCAAAAAATGCCATGCTTGTATAATGTTTCTAATCCTTGGTTGGTGTAACGTTAACACTTAACGTGATTCTCTTTTACTGTTTACATTAAACCTACTTGAAGGTTAGGCCACTGCTAATTTGATTGGGTGTCATAGTCTTAGTCACTACACTGATACAGTACTTTGAATCCAGATGTCTTTTCCTTTTTTTGGATCAGAAGAAATTGATCATCATGATAATTTTTGGGGATCAGAAGACTTTGATCATCATGTTAATTAATGTTCACTGTTCTCAGGGAGCTGAATGTTCAAACTGAGAGGTCTGAAACTACAAACTCAGAAGTCCTGCACGAATGGGCTATCTTTTTTCATCAGCAACATCCATTATCCTGCATTTGATCCTATGCCAACACTCCCTTGCTATAAACACAACTCCAGACTCTTGAAAAGAATTGACGGGACAAAGGATTTGAAGCTTGGAAGAGCTATTTATGCGCTGCTTATCAGAACCCAGCAAGGTGATGTTATTCAAGCCAACAATTTGATCAATCTCTACCTGAAGTGCGACCACCTTAGAGTCGCTCGTCATGTTTTTAGTATGATGCCCGAGAGAAATGTGGTCTCTTTTAGTGCACTAATGACTGGCTATTAACACAGTGGGCTCTCATTAGATGCCCTTTATATGTTTAAATCAACGGCTTTTGGTCAGTCTTCATTTCTTCATAATGAGTTCATTTTCTCACTAGTCCTAACAGTTTGTTCTGATCTAGAAGCGCTTTGTAAGGGACAACAATGTCATGCTTATGTCGTCAAGTCTAGGCTAATATCTCATTCTTATGTCAGAAACAGTCTTCTTCATATGTGTTCTATATGTTCAAGTGTAGAAGATGCTATGGAGTCCACAAAACTTTGCCAGATTTTGATATTTTCTCATTTAATAGCATGCTTAACACCTTTTTGGAACATGGGTATTTGGATGCTGCTGCTGAGATTATGAGAAGTGTGATGAATGAGGTTGACAAGTGGGATCAGATCACATATGTTGTCGTTCTAGGGCTTTCTGCCAATTTGAAGGATTTGAGATTGAGTTGCCAACTTCATAGCCAAATTTTAAGAAGAGGGCTTGAAAATGGCATCTTTAATGGGAGTACTTTAGTTGATATGTATGGAAAATGCAACGATGTTTCAAGCGCTCTATATGCTTTTTCTAGGATCCCCAACAGGAATGTGGTCTCTTGGAAGGCATTAATAGCCATTTGTACACAACATGGCTGCTTTGAAGAAGCCTTGAAATTATTTTTAAAGATGGTACTAGATGGCGTCCAACCTAATGACTTAACCTTCTCTGTTACACTGCATTCATGTGTAGGCCTGTCTACCTTGATTAATGGCGATGCCCTAAATGCTCTTGCACAAATATCAGGACATAAGGAATATCTGCATGTAGGTAATGCTCTGATCAACATGTATTCAAAATGTGGTAGCATCGAAGAAGCATATAATATTTTTAATGATGCTCTAAAGGAAGACAATGTTTCTTGGAGTTCGATAATAACAGGTTATTCTCATCACAGCTTAGGTAAGGAAGCTCTAGGAGCATTCCACAGTATGTTAAATGAAGGGGTGGATCCAACTTGTGTAACCTTTGTCTCAGTGCTTTCTGCATGTGGCCATCTTGGTCTAGTACGTGAAGGTTACAATTATTTGGATTCGATGAGCAAATGGGGGATATACCCTGGGCTTGAACATTATACTTGGATCATTATAAGCCTGCGGCGAGCTGGTCTATTAGATGAGGCCAAGAAATATGTTAGATGTACTCATATAGAGTGGGACATTATAACATGGCAATCTCCACTGAATGGCTGTGTAGCACATAGAATCGGCCTGGGAAAGCAAAATGCTCGTCACATACTTCAATTTGATCCTAATGATGTAGAAACATATATTCTCTTATCAAATATCTATGCCAGAGAAAGCCTTTGGTATGGAGCTGTTTAGACTCGGAAGCTAATGAGAGAACGACACATCAAAAAAGAACTTGGGGTTAGTTGGATTCAGGTGAGGAATGAGACCCATGTTTTTGCTTCAGAGGATAATCGGCATCCATTGATAGATGAAATATGCAGAAAATTAGCACAGCTAATATACCAAATTAAGTTAATTGGCTATAAACCTGATATTGCTAGTGTATGGCATGATGTCGAAGATGAACAGAGGGAAGAGTATCTTAGTTATCATAGTGAGAATCCAGCTGTGGCTTTTGGGCTTATTAGTACTCCTCATGGAGACACAATTCATGTCATAAAGAACCTTCGGGTTTGCAATGATTGCCACACGGCATTAAAATTGATTTCAAATGTGACGGAGAGAGAGAGATAATAGTGAGGGATGCCAATAGATTTCATTGTTTCGAGAAGGGGTTGTGTTCTTGCAGGGATATTGGTGAGATTTTTTGTTCGAAAGAAACAGAGAGGTTTTGCTAGTGCAGATGCAGATTGCAAGTGAAGTATTTCCGGTACTCATCATCAGAATTCATAAACTTGTTCACTTGTTTATTTGCATTAATCTGGTTCTTAATCAAACAATTTGTCTGAAATTATTGGGCTTCTTTTGTATCAGTTTCATTCAGAATCGGATGAGAAGTATTTCACATGACACAGATGAATGGATTGCCTAGGCATTTTCCTACTGTACCATAGGTAAGCAGTCTATTTTGCTAAGAATAGAATTACATTATTCACATCTGAACCTATCTGACAACTTATTTACAGATATTTACAACTTATAAATGGCCCGATAATACTAGCATGCAATTTTGAAGTTCTTTGTATGACCCGCTCACAATTTTAATTACCAAATCCATTTTCATTTTATTTTACCTAATAAATGCAGGAGGAATCCATAGGCTATGAGATACTTCATCTTGACAGGAATTTTTTGGATTTTTTCCCCTTCAAGAGAAAAATGCAGTAGTTAGTCAGGAAAGATATCGTAGCATGAAACTGGATATACTGAACAACAGGTTGGAAGTGATAATGTGCGGTAAAAGGCAGGGGTATCTTTTGGGGAGAAGAGAGAAGAAAAGGATATTTCTGGTTAAAGAAAGAGTTATAAAATCCTTGTTGTCGTAAAGATTGATAAATTTGAGGGTATCAGATATGAGACATCCAAGTATGGAAAGTTTTACTTTAATTTAAAAAAAATACAAATTTTCAAAACAGTCTCATTTACAAAAATATTCCCAAAAAAACGGCTCGTTTCAACAATATTCGTCAAAACCGTCGGGCTGAAACTAGGTCGGTTTTAACGGAAAAAAAATATTAAACTTCACGGGACTTGAAGTCTCGTGAAGTTTCTTTCAAGTCCCGTGAACTTTGATAGTTCAAAACGACTTCAGAGCTGAAACGAACTTAGTCACTTGAAATTTAGTAGCTTAATTAAATGGATGTTAAACTTCATGGGACTTCAAGTCCCGTTAAGTTTGGGAACTTTTTTCGTCAAAACCAACTCAGTTTCAGCCCGATAGCTGAAACTATGTCGGTTTTGACAAATATTGTTGAAACATATCGTTTTTTAGAAATATTTTTGAAAAATGGTGGGTTTTGAAAATTTGTCCTTAAAAGAAAGGTCTCTAAAGCTTTGACCACAGAGCTCCCTCCATTGCCCAATCCAGATAACAGTCAAAGCTGCTTCTTTATATGAGTGTACAGCTAAGCTGCATAGTATAGTACATAACCTAGTGGTATGTATTTAAATTATTTACTGCCTTTGTCCTTAAAGCCAGAGACATATATTCGAATTTCATGTGTTTTTAATAGTATTTTGGATAGCTTTCAATTTTTGCAATTGTCATTTGGCATCTCCTGGAAGTATTTTTGGATGCATCTATACTGATGTCTTGTGTACTAATGTATCAGTTTACCATCACTAAATGCTATATTTTGCCTATTGTTCTCTTTTTACCTTTCTTTCCTTTTTCTTTTTTTTATGAGAAAGAAGACAACCAATGGTTTGATTAATTCATCTCAAGATAGATAACAAGGTGCGCGATTAGCTCATTCATTCATTTCCATTCTTTTTACGCGTTTAATGAATATATATGTTAAAATGGTTAATTTGAAGTGCATTTTCTAGAAAAATAAACCTTTCGCTGTATTCGCAAGTAGAAACTAGAGGCAACAAGATTTAAATTTGTTCAAATTCTGTGATGTATAAACTTGTCCCCATCACTCATTTTCAGTACCATGCAAGTAACATCCATGGATCATAAATCCATGTGAGACTAGGATCAGGAATCTTTTAATTATTTTCCCTCCACTTCAGCCACTGCAACTTCGATAGCGCAACCAGAAGCCAAGAAGTATTTAGTCCACATGGCGTCCAAGCAGGACTAAACAAACTCTGCAGGCAAATCAACCTTTTAAGCACGCGTGAAGACCGAGAACCATCTTGCTCTCGTGTCATAGCTTCTTTTCCATTGCAAAGGAAGTGCCCACAAAAGGCTAAAGCGCACGGGCAAAGAGGCAAAAGTTTGAGGGGGGAAAATTGGGTTTTGAAGCAATTTTTCTTAGTACAGATCAAGCCTGGCTCTACCTTGAGGGCAGCAGCCACACCAACGAGCCTCTCAGAATCCCAGCAACAAATCAGTTCAATCTTTTCCACTCACTGACTTTTCGCTTTCTCTCTCCCCCCGTGGACACATGGGTTCAACAACTAGATGACAAGATACTGAGGACCATTTCTTGCTTGCTAGTACCTTGAGTTAGCTCTTTCTGAGTTTTTTTTTTGAATGTGCGTCCTTTAAGCGCATGTGTATTTGTGTGCCCCCCTCTCTAGAGTAATAATCTCAGTGATTCCAACTAAGAATGTGTTCTAATGTGCGTATATATAATAGTAAAAGGCCAATTTGATTCACTGCACTGCGGGCCACATACTCAAATTGGTTTCTTTACTTTATTTTTGCTCTACTTAATATATATACTACACATCAGTTATAAATTATGTCCTTTTTTAACATCTGCTATATATTACGTGTTAATTTTTTTGTTTCCCATCATATTACCCTCAAGGAAACAATAGTGATACTTCTAGTGTTTAAATTTCGGTAAAGTACCAGATTAGTCTAAAAACTAACACTTGTTTACCAGTTTACCATAAAAAGTAACATCGGCTATACTTTAACCTAAAGAGTGATAAATTTGTGACACATAGACCTTTTCCGGATTAAAGGAATTTTACATATGAACCCCTGAATCTCTCATATTTTTCGAATTAACCCTCTCTCCCTCCCTAGAATGTGAAATTTGTAATTTAAAAGGGTGAAAAAACTCATCCCTTCCCGCTATCTCTTCCTCCTCTTTCCCATAATCTTCTTCACTCTCTTCTTCTCCATATCCTCAACTTTTCCTCCTTCCTCTCCTTCTATCTCCTTTCCATTTCCCCACTCTTACGGTCTTATCTTCTCCTTACTATCATCTCTTCCATTCTTTTCTAACTCCTCTCAATCCACAGCCTCTCTTCTCTCTCCCACTCTATCCTTCTTCTCCTCCTCTTTCTGTCTCACATTCCCTCTTCCTCTCTCTCACTTCCTCTCCCTCTTTGCTCTGCCCACTCTCAATCTCTAGCATCCAACATTCTATCAAAAACCTAACCTCCTTCTCCTCTTCCTTTTTCCTACTCCCTCTCCCTCCTACGTCCGCTCACTCTCTCTTTATCCTCCTATCATCAGAACATCAACCTCATTAGTAGAGAGAACAATGAAAAGGGGAGAGAGTGAGTGGTAAAAATGAGGGGAGGCTGATGATCGGAAGGAGAAAAGAACGTAGGAGATGGTGGGAAGGAAGGGAGAGAGGAGTTTTTTTTAATAAACTTTAAAACTCAATGGAGTAAATCCGAAAATATAGAAGATTTAAGAGGTATATATATGAAAAAAGTAAAACTTTTTCTCTTAAAAATTGCGTCCAGCAATCGGAAATGCCTATATTGTTGGATAATGTTTTTTTTTTTTGTGGGAACTCAGCCGCCCTCGTGTTTATCAAACCTGTTTTTTTTTTAATGCCTAACTTCTTTGACAAAGAAGCATCCTTCTTTGACATTTTTGAAGAAAAACAAATTTGGTGGGTCCCACAAGTTTGAAATTAAATAAAGTGGTGGGCCCCACCGAAGAAATTCATAGGACATGGGTCCCACATGAATAGTAACTAATAATATTTTATTAGTGCATAGTGTTTTTCCAAACGCTATAAATAGACCTCAAATCCTTAAGGAAAATTCATTCCAAAAACAACAATCAATATATACAGATATATATAGCTAGTGCTAGTAGGAACAGTGCCTAGACCGAGAAGGTCTTACAGATCGAGGAGATCTTTGCCTGAGGAGATCGAGGAGATCTTTTGCCTGATAGATCGAGGAGATCTTTGCCTTACAGATTGAGGAGATCTTGATAGTACTGGGTTGGTGCACACCAGAGTACTGGACTGCTGTTCCTGGAAGCAATTTGGCCTTGGGATCCTTGCACCGGAGTAGGCCAAATAATGCTTTAAGCACAGCGTTTTACAAACGCACAGCAGCTGAGTTGAAAAACTTAATTTACTGTACTTCAGCTTTCTTTCAGTTATTAGCTGCTATATATCTGTATTATTCCAGTTTTAACCACAGGCGCCAACAATCTTAAAGCATTATTTCGATCTACCATGGATCCTGCGAGGACTCTTGGAGTGGACTGTCTTAAGTTAGAGAACTTTGACGGTTCCAACTTCAACGCATGGCGTCGGAAAGTAATCTTCGGGATGCAACTCCTGAAAATCTACTATGTGGTTTCTGAGGAAAAACCCGACTCTGAAGAAGACTCTGAAGCTGAAGCCACTTGGGCTAAAGATGATCACTTCTGCAGGAGTTATCTCCTTAATTGTCTGGCTGATCATCTAGCAGATGCTTACACCAACAAGCCCTCTGCAAAGGAAATCTGGAATGCTCTGGAGGACCAGTACAAGGATGAGGAGAAGTTGTCCAAATCTCACCTCATTGACAAGTTTCTGGACTTAAAGTTCGAAGATGATACTGAGGTTTTGCCTCAAGTTAAAGAGCTTGAAAAGCTTGTTATGAAGCTGAAGGATGAAAAGATCAGTCTTTGTCAAACCTTCATCTCTGGTGCAATTGTCAACAAGCTTCCTCCATCTTGGATGTCATTCTCCACTGACATTCGAAGAAGGAAAAGACAGGTGACTCTGTCTGACTTGAAGAGGTTCATCCGGATCGAGGACGAGACTCGGACTCGCACGAAGACTGAGCTACTTGCTAAGCAGAAGGCGTCTGCTAACATGGTGGCGACTAACTCTGAAAAGGATAATTATTCATCTTTCAAGAAGAAGAAGTCTTTTAATAGAAGGAAGAACCAAAATCCGAAGAACCTGAACGTTCAAAAGAAGGAGTTCAAGAAGAGCGGCAAATGCTTCAACTGTGGGAAGCAAGGACATTTTGCCAAAGACTGCAAAGCACCAAAGAAGGAAACAACACACAATGTCAATCAAGTTGATGATTGTGTGGCTATGCTCTTCCAGGTAACAACTCCAAGCAACATCTCTAGTTGGTGGTTAGATACGGGTGCTACTTGTCATGTATGCTCCAATAGAGATATGTTCTCTTCTTATGTTGCTACCAAAGAGAACGTATCAATGGCTGATCGTTCTGTGGTTCCTGTTCTTGGAACTGGGACTGTGGTGCTGACTCTTTCTTCGGGAAAGACTCTCACATTGAAGGATGTGAAACACGTTCCCTCAATTGCCAAAAACTTAGTCTCTGGAAGCATGCTGTGTGATGCAGGCATGAGGCTGGATTTCCAAGGAGGAAAGGCTGTATTATCCTTTAAGAAAATGTATTTTGGCAATGCATATCGTACTGATGGCATGTATAAAATCAGTACGAGTGCACCCAACCCCATTGTAAATGAAGTATTCTCTTCTGCTTACTCCTCTGTGTTATGGCACAATAGGCTGGGACATGTAAATTATAGAAAACTGTCTAGCATGGAGAAGTTAGGATTACTTCCAAAATGTGGGGGTAACAAACCTGAGAAGTGTGAAGTTTGCGCGCAAGCAAAGCAGGACAAGAGAATTGCTACTGCTAAGCGTAGGGAGTGCGTCAATAAACCTTGGTGCATTATAATGATCTTGCACTCATCATCGGGGATGATCAAGCTAGGGGACTTTGCTAACATTACTTTTGGAGATAGCAATGCGTGCAGGTTCCTGGACCTTGGAACCAACTCCATCATTGAAGCTCGGGATGCAGAATTCTTTGAGGATAAGTTTATCAAACATAAAGGCTTATTGCTCAAAGATGTAGCAGAGAATGCTAGTACATCAGATGCACAAGAGGAGCCAGTCAATGATGAAGGAGTTATCGAACCATCTTCCAAGCGCGTCAGAAGATAGAAAGATTTTGGAGATGACTTCATCACCTATAATGTGGAAGGAGATCCACAGACTTTTCAAGAAGCAATGCAGTCAACAGACGTTCTTCTGTGGAAAGAAGCTATAGATGATGAGATGGATTCATTGATCCAAAATCACACTTGGGAGCTGGTGGATGTACCTGAAGGTGCAAGGCCTATCAGTTGCAAGTGGATCTTCAAGAAGAAGCTTCGTCCTGATGGTACTATTAACAAGTACAAAGCAAGACTGGTGGCGAAAGGATTCTCTCAGAAAGAAGATATAGATTTCTTTGATATCTATGCACCGGTTTGCAGGATCACTACCATCAGAGTGCTTATCGCATGGGCAGCGATTAAAAGGTTCGTCATACATCAGATGGATGTGAAGACTGCCTTTCTCAATGGAGATCTCACAGAAGAGATCTACATGGAGAAACCAGAAGGACTTGATGCTCCAGCTGGTAAGGTTTGTAAACTTGTTAAGTCTTTATATGGACTTAAACAGGCACCAAAACTCTGGCATGAGAAATTTGATGGGGTTGTTCGCAACAATGGGTATCAAGTCAGTGAATCTGACAAGTGCCTATACATCAAAGTCGCTGAAGGAAAGGTGGTGGTCATCTGCCTCTATGTGGATGATATGCTCATCATCGGGAGTGATTTGGAGATAGTAACATCTACCAAGAAATTTCTCTCGGCACAGTTCAGCATGAAGGACCTTGGAACTGCGGACGTGATTCTCGGAATCAAAATCATATACTCTAAAGAGGGTATTGGATTGTCTCAATCTCATTATGTCGAAAGCATGCTAAGGAAGTATGGCAAAGATCATTGGGAGTCTCATGTACGCGATGAGTTGCACAAGGCCAGATATAGCATTCGCTGTAGGAATGCTTAGTAGGTTCACAAGTAATCCTGGAAAGCTTCATTGGGATGCCATCCAGAGATTGATGAGATACTTGAAAGGAACTACAGGTCTGGGCTTATTCTACACTGGATATCCGGGTGTAATCGAAGGCTATTCAGATGCGAGCTGGTGCTCAGAACCAGATGAGTGCAGATCTACTAGAGGATATGTCTTCAACATGAGTGGAGCTACCATCTCATGGAAGTCTAAGAAGCAGACCATGATTGCACAGTCATCGATGGAATCTGAGTTCTTCGCACTCTGTGTTGCAGGAGATGAAGCTGAGTGGCTCAGTTGTATTCTCCGAGACCTTCCATTGACAGGATTGCAAGGCGCAATTACTATCTATTGTGATAATCAGGCGGCGAGTGCTGTGGCAGCAAACTCGTTGTTCAATGGAAAGAAGCGGACCATTCGTCTGAAGCATGGCTATTTGAGAGAGCTCATTTGTCAAGGAGTCATCTCTGTGATTGACGTCCGATCTTCAGAGAATGTTGCTGATCCTTTGACTAAGGGTCTGAAAAAGGACATAGTCGAAAGGACGTCTACTGGAATG